CACACCTCAATCCTCAAATTGACAACTTTGTTCTTCAACACCTTGTACAGCGGACCTCCCAATGCAATGTGATTCCAAACAAAATTAAATCCTCGGCATCATCAATCTTTTCTGTTGATCGTGTTATCTACCACCAACTTCAGGGGTCCCTGGGTAATGCAAACGGTAACCTATTCACTACGAAGTGGAAGATAAAGATCAGAGTAGAACAGCCTGGAGATCTACTTCAGAAGAACCAGCCCCTGAAAGCTCCATGGAGCCCAGCTCTCCTCTAATGCAAATGGAGTCCTCACGAGTCAAAATCGACTCAAAGGCAACGCCCATTTTAACCACCAAATTGAATAGGCCAATAATAATACCAAGACCACCGAAACCATTTTTTATCACCAATCTTGGCAGTTTCATTTACACAGGAAGGAAAAGTCCCTATTTGTAAACTCTTACACTTTGCCTTACACATGCGAGAAAAAACATAAAAGAGTCCTACTGAAACATGAACAGAGGGGGGTAAAAAAAAAAAACATGAACAGAGAGGACTCTCAAAATTCCTGCCAAGCTCACAATGTACCTGTGCCTCTCAAAGTCCTACTGTGACAGAAGTCTGTATGTCACAGAATTCCCCAGCCATTCAAGAAAATGATAAACATCAAATCCATAAGCATAGGCTGGCTAATTCCAAAAACAATAAACTGTTCAGAAGATTTACCGTGTTCCAATTCCAAAAGTAGCAATACTATCATCAAAGAGCATTGTCTTAGAAACACAATTTCTCTCTGACCTAACCTAATTAAACTGTTTTCAGGTAGTCAGGGCTTCCACACACTCTTGGAGAACAGAAATATCTAATATCCAGGGGGCCGGCCCCAATCCCAACTACTAGGTGGGCACCTGCCCCTCCCCCCAGAAGGATTTCTTTCAAAGGACAGCATTGAATCTGCAGCTCCGGAAGAGGGCTATATCTGATCGGAGCACACGGGAGATGAAGGAGGAGGAGGAGACTGGAGCACATCCTGGCCCACCAGGCCGTGAGGACGATGTTCTCAATTAGAGCAGCCAGTCCACAGAGAGAATCACATGGCCAGCCCCACTATGAGACAAGACATCCCTCACTGACCCATAGCTCTACAGGGCACAACGCCAGAGACACAGTGTGGGAATTGCACCCGATCTGATCCCACCACACCAAGGCAAAACAAAGGGGGTGCAACAGAACAGCAAGGAAAAAAAAGAACAGCAAGGGAATGGAGC